GGGCTTGAATCGCATGATGTAGTCTTTGTCTGGAGAGATCGCGCACGTATGCTACCATGGAAACTGTGGCAAAAGCCCGATGCTACATACGAGAAGCGAGTAGGTTTGGCACAGTAGCGAGGTACTAAGTTAGTGACTGGTTTGCACCGAGGTCGAATCATAGGATTCGAAAAGGACAATCAATAGGATTGACAGACAAACCCGGACCAAATGGGGTACCGAGCTATGGTGCAAATGAGAGAGCCACCAAACTACGGGTGCGATCGCTTTCCGGGAAAGCGGAAGACAAAGGCCACAAACATGCGAGCGCAGGCGTGGGAAATGAAAAATCAAAAATCAAAATCAAAATCAAATTGCAAAAAAAAACAAAAGAAAGAAAAAGAAAATTGAAAAAAGAAAAGAAAGTACCCAGGATCGAAAGCTGGGCGTTCGATCAGAAGGGAAAGAAGAAAGGTGGAGGAAGGGAAGTGCTCGAGAAAGCAAGTGAAAGGAGGGAAAGGAAAGAAAGGGAGAAAGACAAAGTGGAAAGGGAAAACGGAGAAGGGAGGAGGAAGGGAAGAAAGGAGAATAGGAGGAGAGTAGTAGATGGGATTGCGTATCTAAACAATGTTTGGTATGAGTCTCGAAGCAGCGCGAGCTGCAGTCACTTCAGACTGAGTAGCCGAGGCAAGTTGGTTAATTGCCCGGTTTTGTTGCTCCGAAAGGTGCGCAACATTGCGAAGGTAAAGGAAAAAAGAATCAGAGCGCCAGCGCAAGAGAAATTTGATCTGAATAGCGTTGATACCCGCAGCGTGAAGGATCACTGCCGCCCCAGCTCGAAGAGAATGGGACGTATATTTGTAATGTCGCTGAAGATCGCGATCAGTCAGGTTGTAAGTCTTCTTGGCCAAGGTCCGAAGGGTGGAAGCAATGACTTTGCTGTGGATGAAAAACTTTTCACCAAAGGATCCTTTGTACACTGCAAGTGGGATATCGGTCTTATCCAGGCCGACAATCCGTGCAAATCGGCTGACAATGTTATGGAGACTCCGCAGAGCGTCGCGGGAAGGGTTACGAGGATTGCTGGAGAGCAGTTTTTCCTCACCGTGGTCGTGGTTCTTTTGCCAAGAGAACTTGACATTGGAGCGGGCGACGGCATCAAAATTCTCGATAAACTCAGCAATCGAAACAGGACGGTTTCCCGAGTCGAACAAACGAATGTCACCGAGAGTGAAAGCGCGTTTCGTACCATTCGGGGCGATCTCGCCACCGGAAGCCAGGCGACGGTAATCATCCTCCTGGGCCCATTCGCGAAGGCGAAAACCTAAATAGGTACTCAGGTTAAACCAATCTTCCATAGCACGGTGTAAACCATCCATATGTGCGGTTGTAGCGGTATTCAAAGCCACCAGGGTGGTATGCATCTCAATTGTATAGGGGTCGACTCAATGAGGCATATTCTCATGACGCTTACATTCGGTCATAACAGCGCGGAGAGGAAGCGCCAACTCATTGTCAGAGCGATTAGTGTAGCGGGGATCTCGACCACAGAAGTTTTCAAGAAGGGTAGCTGTATCTCGAAGGTAGTTGCCAATGGTCGCTGCTTTGATGGGCTTACCCTTGACGGTATTGCCCACCGCCAAGTCGACTGCGAAAGCAGCAAGAAGGTGTGTACGGGCATCATGTGAGACGGACTCCAAAAGTAGATCCTTCGTTGGCCAATTTATACGACGCAGAAAGCGGAGGAAATGGATGCGGTGGGAACGAATTGTCCCAAGGACTCTGGTAGATTTGGTGGGACCGGACTCGAGCTGCATAACAGCGCGGATCTGAGAACGGAGATGAGTTCGGCACTGGGCTGGAAATTGCGCAAGGCGTTCATCCAAGGATACTTCTGTGATGTCTGCAGAAAAAGGCGTTCATGTGAGAGAGAGTCGGGGCGAGAAATCCAATCGGCGAGGACATTGTCATCGCCAGGGATGTGCACCGTGTGGCAAACCAAGGAAGATCTCTTCAAGAGCTGGCCGTAGAGCGCAACCAAGGCCTGAGCCAACGGACTGGTGGTCCGGGTGTCATTGATCCAAGATACCGTCGCGGTGTTGTCCGTACGACAACGAAGGACCGGGAACGCCGGAATACCATTTGGGAACAAATCACGGATGGGGGCAGAGAGCGCGGAAGACTCAATGGTCACGACAAGGGCCACTGCCTGCAGGAAGGAAACGAGGCACTCCAACACATTGATGTGGATATAAGATGCGTCGGAGGGCTTTAACTTAGTACCTGCCACAATTTGTTTACTCCAAACAACACGAAACCAGTAGTCCAAGGACGTAGAATAAGCGCCGCCCCCAATAAAACTAGCATCGCCAAAGGACTCGAAATGGTGGTCACGAGGGATCATCTGGGGAATAAAAATCTTCCATTCCTCAGTTCGTAGGCTATGGATAATGGCCTTGATCTCCCGAATTGCAGCCGGACCCAGCTTGTAGGATTGCTTGGAGCCCCAAAGAACTTTAGCCATCTTACGGCTCAAGATCCCATCCATGCGGTGTATAAAGGTGGAAGACAGTCGAGAGGCGATCTGAAGCTCCCAGTCCTTCCGTCTGTGGTAGCCAATGAGGGTGCGGTACCGATGAACGAGGATCATACGAAGAAGGCGTTGCAAATTGAAGTAGGAACAGCGCATATGGCGGCAAACTGTAGTGGCGTTCGAAAGCAGACCAAGGAGTTCGGCGATTTCTTGAAGGGTTAGACGATGTTTCCGGAGAAAGGTCCGGAGCCGTCGGATGATACGATCGCGTTTCTCAGATGGGAGGCTCACCGTAAGGGCGCGGGAATCAATCAACCAACCAAGGCAGTGTCGACGATGGGAAAAGGTAGTGGTGAACTTTTCCCAAGACACGCAATCTCGAATCCCTTTTGAGGCATCTGGGAAACCAAGGATCAAGTAAAGAGCCAGAACACTGGAGGCAATTGTTTGTCTCAGTGTCTTTGCGACATCAACATAAAGACAATCATCCACATGGTGGTCGAAATTGGGTGGGATCCGAGATCCGTCCGGGTTGAAGACACCTTTGTTGATGGAGTCGGCTTCCGCTGGGGTGAACTGTGCGATCTCATCAGCTGTTGGTTCCGGTGAGGTCGATATCGCTGGAAGGTATCGTAGGACCCTAGCAATCGTAGAAGCCTGTGACCAGAGGTGACGGTCTTGACCGAGCAGCTAAACTCCTTCTATCGCCTCCATCATCCCACAAGCTCCCATTGCGAACAATGTCTTCTCCAAATCTTCCGTCCTCTTCGTCGACACTCTTCGCTCCGTCCGCCAAC